TGAGAGTAAATATTGGGTGGAAAGTGTAAATGCACCAAGAGGAGCCTCACAAGGAAGAAGAATCGAGTTTAGTGTGCGTAGATGAGCTCATTTCAGTTCAAAAAAGGATTTTCATGAAAATATTGTAATAAAACTTTAATTTTATAAGTCTATTTCCATTTATTTTGAAATATTGCCGTATTTAATATAGTTACCTAAATTGTCAGGAAACGTGATGTCCTATGATAAAATGGAGGTCATTTTCGTATTCAGTGCACCAAAAAACATAAAGATTATGTGGAATAACCAAAACAGCTCTCAAAAAAAATTTTTTTTGACCTCAGCGGAGTGTTATTTTAATAGATAATTAGATTGCAATTAGAGAATTAGGTAAAGGTAAAGGTTCCCCTGACACATATGTGCTAGTCATTCCCGACTCTAGAGGGCGGTGCTCATCTCCATTTCAGCCGAGAGCCAGCACTGTCCGAAGAAATCTCCGTGGTAATAGTATGACTATATGCCAAAGGCGCACGGAACGCTGTAACCTTCCCACTAAAGTGGTTCCTATTTTTCTATTTGCAGCTTTTACGTGCTGTCGAATGCTAGGTTGGCAGAAGTTGGCACAAATAACAGGAGCTCACTCCGTTATGCGGAGGTAGGGATTCAAACCACTGAACTGCCCTTCTGATTGACAAGCTCAGTGTCTTAGCCACTGAGCCACCATGACACCTTATTAGATAATTAGATAGCAATAATTAGATAGCCACAAAGGCTATGCCATCTGATGTTTCCTGAGGTTTTTGCAGTCCAAATGCATTAGCCCTAGTAAGCCATTTCTTTGTTTCCACTTGCATCCTTTAGTTGCTTCCCCCCCCCCCCCCCTAAATGTAGCAACCACAGTTTTGGGATGCCTTCAGGAAATAACATCTGAATGCAATCAGCCATTTCTCTTTTGAAAATTGTGCAACTTCCTATTTGGATGGATAGATGGATGGCTATTCCAGTGTATTGCTGAATGGAGAATTTATAGATGAAATGGGTGAACTTTGGTTTGGAAGGGCAGTTCTGGAGAAAGTTCTCTTAATGACAACTTTGATGCTGTAATGTTCAATAATTCCCCCCCCCCCCATAAAAATGGAACATATTTATCAGTATCAAAGACACGTGAAGTCTTTATTCCCTGAACTGGTAAGACTGCACCACTGTACACTGCAACACTGTATATATGCACCACATTTTCACAAAGACATTGATGGGATTCAGCAGGTTGCGAAGGCAACGAAGATGATACCAGCACTTGAGGACATGCCATATGAGGACAAGCTAAAAGAGCACATTTTGTCTGAGAAGAAGAAAGCATAGGGGAGACGTGATACAGAATTCAGTGTTCAGGTACAGAATAAAGGGACCATGGAGAAGATGGTTAGGAATGATTTTCCACTGTCATAGAAACACGCACCAGAAATAATGGGCATTAGGCTTTATCTAAGTAGATTTCCCCCAGTAATATTCCCCAGTTCCTTTCTTTAGCAGTCCCAGTTATTGGTGATACTGGATATCTTTAGCTAAGTTAGAAAATTAGTTTTCATTTTCATTTATTTAACATTATCAGCTTTCTTCAGGGGAAATGGATGAAAATTCATTTGATCTGAGTTTATCCTCTTCACATCCTCTGTTCTTTTATGTAATGTGAATGGAATGTTGGAATGTTTATTTAATTTGTATGCCGCCCTACTCCCGAGGGACATGTACTGAAATCTTTCAGATCCAGAATTTGTCTTGCCATTAAAGGAAAACTTATAAATGTATCTCTGAGCTTACACGTATGTAAGAAAAGGGTACTCCATCATCAGATTTATTAGAGAACATCATCAATAAACTGACATGAAGAAAATGTGTCTAAATTGAAGTTTATTAGGAGGCTTTGCAAAATACTTTGAACAGGATAGGTAGGAAAAGGGTGAAGACTTTGCCTGTCCCCCACACTAAACAATCTGTCCAGTGCCAATTGAGATAACTGTTTCTAAGGTGATGCACAGATTTCAAGTGAAGACTTAAATACAATGAAGATCTCTTGTTGCATGGGGAAGGATGCCTGCTGCAATCTTAGTATTGTTTTTTTTTAACAATTAAACAAAATCACTATAACTAAATGTATGCTAAAGTATGCTGTTGGCTTACAGCATCAACTTCTTGATTTATCCTTGCAGGTACCAGTTTTCACAACCAAGGTTCAACCTTGGAATAGGGTAAATGAACACTGAAAGATTCAGTGGCCTCTGAGCAGATGCAGATTATATTTCCTTCACAATTATTACAGAGAATTCTAGATAGTTCGGTGATTAGATTGAGAAATGGTTTACAAGTCATGGGTAATGCTCCTAGATTAACGTCAGCCTTTGGCTGGTTTATGTGTTCAAAAAATCCTGGGATCTGAACAGTCATTTCACCATTACAAAAGTGACTCCAACCAACATATCTAAGTACAAGGTACTACGCAGTGGTGAAATTCAATTTGGTTTTACTACCGGTTCTGGGGGCGTGGCTTGCTGGGCATGGCAGGGGAGGGATATTGCACAATCTCCATTACCTCCCCACTCTGGGGCCAGCCAGAGGTGGTTTTTGCCAGTTCTACGAACTACTCAAAATTTCCTCTACCAGTTCTCTAGAACCTGTCAGAATCTGCTAAATTTCACCACTGTGCTATACTATGTTATGCTCTGCTCTGCTAGTTGATTGAGTTGATATATTCATACACACACACACACACACACACACACACACAAAGTTGATATGCTGTGTGTGTGTGTGTGTGTGTGTGTGTGTGTGTGTGTGAATAAATAGCTACATTCCAGCAGGATAGTTGGGATTCCAAAGTACGTGATTTCCTTCTCCTTCAATTTTTTCTGCCCATGATTTTTCAGGAAGGTAAAGATTTTTTGCATATATAAAATTTTTTTATATTACAGGATACATCATTCCATCTGCCAGCCTGATAGATTTCGGCACAGTCTTCATTATTGCTGTGGTCATTGGGTTCACCTTCTGACCAATACCTAAATAAGGAAGATAGTCAAGTTAGTCTGAGAGAAATTCAGAAAGAGATGTCTTTCCTTTTCACCCATATCACCTCCTGCCTGCCAAGTATAACCTAACGCAGAAGGTCTGTACTTTTCCAATGGGGCTTTGGGTCAGTCATGTATATCCCACTCTTTTCCAGTATGAAACTTCAGAAACCATATGTAGGCCTTCAAAGTTCAGCAGGGGATCTGCCAGATTGGGACTAGTTTAATATTAACACAATATCTATCTCTACACCATGCTCTGCATCTTATATCATTGTCTTCTCATCTATGGAGAAGAATGTTTCCTCACCTGACTCTTAGAAGCTATACAAGGACATGGAATTAGTGCTCTTCTGGATTTACAAATGCCAACTAGTACTAACCATTATAATCAATGTTGAGGTATATAAGAAATTATAATTCATCAACATCTGGAGGCTATTACCAAAATTCCTAAAGTCTTTTTCACATGTAATTCCACCCTTGGCTGCTTCTTGGGGAATAAATGCAAATTACCACAGTAAAATGATCTGGGATGGCCATTGTCTCCCACATTTGCCATCTTCATAACTTTCTTCATTCTACTTCTTACTTGTGAATAAGTGTATCCCTAATGGTTGATATTATTAACTACTTGTCAATGACCAAAGCTCAGTAGAAGTCCACTGCTAGCTAGCTGAGTCTTCATGTTCTCCTTGTTAACACTGCTTGTTCATCTTAGGTGAGCTAGCAGTGAAAGGGAAGGTGGTTGACAAAAATATGTGTATTGAATGAGCAGCATGGATAGTAGTGATGAATGAGTAGGCAAATTCCAGATTTTGTAGGATTTTTAGAATGTCTCTGTGCTTATTCAGCTCCAAACTGAACCTCTTCTTGAAAGAGAAGAACAAGGCAAATGGAAGAAACTTCACTATGTTCTTTACTCTAGTTAGAAGGAATAGCTGAAAACATAGAGGATAACTAGCAGCTATGGTTCCTTCTAGTGATCAACTGGGTCAACTAATCCTCTTCATCAGCGAGGCCATCTTGTAGGAGAAACATTTGATATTTAGAGCCATTGTTAGATGACCAGCTTTTTCATCTCACTATCTTTTCCAGCCCAATGCATTGGAGTTGCTTTGGCTATTTTCAGGCATTAGAAATCTATAAGCATGGGCCATAGACATGCAAGTCTCTAGAATACACATAGAACTTCCAACCATTCAGCATTTGCCCTTCCTGATTACTCTCCAATGCCTACTAAACACTTACTGGTAGCATGCTAGCAATTCTGTATATGATCTCCTTTATCTTATGCCAAGCACTCCTCTGATACGGTCTCAGGAAATAAGCAAGATAGCCAAGAGCACCAGCTGCTTAAATTGCTCATAACTGCAAGTATTCAGTTATGAAGTCACATGGCAACAGGCTCATCATGCATATATGGATGTTGCCCTCATTTGGAAGATCTCATTGAACTGTCTGTTCAAGTACCGTATTTTTCGAAGTATAAGATGCACCTTTTCCCCTCAAAACAGAGGGGGAAAATCTGGGTGCGTCTTATACACTGAATACAGCATTTTTGGCCTCCTGAAACCCCACCCCCTTTGTAAAAATGGCCAAAAACAGGCACAGGGGTACATGGCCCGCTCGCTCCCCCTACCCCATGCATGCATGCTCAATCCCACATCCCCGCACATCCATGCACATCTCCCACATGTGTGCCTCCCTCGCATTCCTGGCAGAGACCCAAAAATCAGCTGGCTGGCGGGAGGCGTGCAGACATGGTGGTGGAGCTGGCTGGGGTAACAGCTCATGTGCCCGCAGAGAAGGCTCCGGGTGCCATCGGAAAGGAACTACATGAAACTTGTGTTTCTGCTTTTTCAGACTGGAAAATTCAGGAAATTTGTTATGACACCTGCCTAGTGGTACGGTAGGATATGAAAATTGCAGTGCGCAGGCTTGTCTTACTTGAAGCTGGTTCTGTAGTCTGTGCCATCAACCCATCTCCATTGCCCTTCATCATTGTGATCACTGAGTCCAATCCAGTAGCGCTCATTTCTGGCTTGAGCCTGGAGGAAATTCTAGGGTGCCAAAAGTTGGGGAAGGAAAAAGGAATAAAAGTTATAACAGCAGAAGCAATAACAACAACAGTGTTCCAAAATATTTAAGTTGAATTCATCTGGAAGAAATCTTTTATCTGTATTCGTAGTAATTAACTAGAGTCATATATTGCAAGGCCTTCCTAAAGTACTTATTCCAAAAATATGTTTTGGTTAATTCAGTGACCATGACTCTGATATGTGTGTGTGTGTGTGTGTGTGTGTGTGTGTGTGTGTGTGTGTNCTGTATGTGCCATGCGCCTGCGTGGAAGCATAGAAGCCTTCAAAGACTGGTAAGGAGCGCGGGCGGGCGGGTGGGCCCTTCGCTGTTCCCGGAAGTTACTTACTTCTGGGTTCGCCGACCAACCGGTTCGCGGGGACAGCCGCGAACCAGTTGAAACCCGCTCCTGGTTTGTATGCTACAGTGATGCTGTGTGATTATAATAGCCTGTTGGTTATCCCTAAGATGTTTCTGACAGTGTTTTTCTTCCATGGTTGTCTCTGAATTAATTGATGGCTCTCACCCTTTTTCCCAGCTATGGATTGATTTTATGATCAAGGCGTACGTTTGTGTCCTTATGCTCTTAGTAAATGTCAACATTTTTTTTTAGGAAACATTTTACACAGATACTATGAGAACACAGTCTTTCCAAAGGGAAAAAGGATGGTGTTATTTTGCATGCTTTCTCTCTTTACATTAAAAAGGCAAACCAAATGAAGAGAACACTATTAGAATGCTAAGTAAAAGAGATGAGATTTTGCATTGGTAGACCTCTGGATCCGTTATGTTGCTTAAAATATGACGATGAACTGTGGAAAGTTTGAATGTACATGTCCCACGAGGCCTCAAAATATATTAAAAGCCAGACTAACAAATTCATGGGTTCAGCTGCAGAATTACAGAATAACTAAACGCTGGCAGTTGGGCGTTAATAGTAAAAATAAAAGTAATTTGGGATTTATAACAGGAATGTCTTTTAAAGTGAAATATAAGAACACCTCTGGTAACATCTGCAATTACGCCCTCGGTTCTTCTGTGCCATGAGAATTTTTAGAAGATTCTTCGCATGGGTTTTTCACAGATATAGTAGCATAAAAATGTGCAGAAAACATCGTTCCATTCTCCGTTGCCCCAGAGATGTGCACAGTGCTCATTTGCGCGATCATTATTAGGCTCCCCTCGCTTCCAGTACCTGAGATTGGAGGAAAAAAAAAACATGTGTTTTAAACAATAGTCCACTAAAGTCTATAAAAGCTCGAGCAGTAACAAAATTTTTATTCTATAAAGTACCGGGAAATTTCTTTCTTTCTTTGCTTTGAAAAGAAATCTAGTGTGATCAAATGACATTTTTGGAGTGCCGGACAGCTTTGGTGAGTCTGAAGGAGCATGAGATTCTGTCGCCAAAGGCTTCTGTTCGTTGCACCAAAAGCTTTTGCAAAGGGATGGAAGGCTTTGTGAGAGTGCTCTTGTGCTGCTTCAGACCTCCATCCCTTTGTAAAAGCTTTTGACGTGGAGAACAGAAGCCTTTGGTGGGATTCAGCTGATTTGCACCAGTTCAGGTGAACTGGTTATTAGATTACCCACCCCCACTATCAAAGGGGATCCTGGGTGCTGTGTTGTGCTGCAATGGGGAAACAGGCAACAGAGCAGCTGGCACGAGGGAAGGAGAAGGCTGCTTTCTCCCTTCCTTCCCTCATGCTGGCCACTCCATTGTCTGTTTCTCCAGTGCAGCGCAGTGCCCAGGATCCACTTTGATGGTGTAACACTAAACTGTAAATGTTAATTTGAAAGACAGGGAGAGTTATTAAATATACGAATTAATCATCTTAGCAACAACTTCTTCTAACAAAATGTAAATCAAATCAAATAAAAAAAATGCAGGGGTCTTTTTCCTACCTTATCTGCTCTCCCTAATAACATTTAGGACTGGAGAACAGCCAAGGAATAATTCTGAGTTTAGATTAATAACATTTGTTAGGATAAAGGTTGAAGTGAAAACATAAGAACTCTAGCAAATAACTCTGCTTTCAAATAGGGATCTCTATATAGGCCAAAATATTAGATTCTGGCTTTCTTCTTCCTGCATTTTGGTGTAACAAGAGGATTTTCTCAAGACATCTGCCTCTAAGATTTATTTCTCTAATAATTATTATGGTGTCATATTGTCAGAGTGAGATGATGTGACTGAATTCACTCTTGGGGAGGGCAGCCCATTAGACTAATGTGTGGCTTTTGACTTTGAAAAAGTTTGTTTCTGTTTTTAAAAGAAGCTTTTGAGAGATTATATCTGGGAAAACATTCAGATTGACGCTTGGGAGTTGGAGATAGGCAAACGAAATTTAATGTTCAGTGCTTACCTGAAGCCATTTCTGTAACTGCTACCATCCACCCATTTCCATTCTCCCTCTACATCAATATCTGTAAGTCCTATCCAATGACGAGCATTCCTGGCTCGTGCCTGAAGGAAATTCTGTAAGAGAACAGGACAGAGAAGCAGAGCAAGGGTATGAAGATTGGGGTAATGTGGAATCTGTGTCTTGGGCCACAATGTTGTTATTGGCCTACCCAAATCTGGATTTGTTTGTAACCAAAATGCACTGTCCATGGAAATGAGTTAAGTATCAACAATCGTAATAGATATAGCTGAATAATAATTGATATTGATAGTAATGTATATAATGTGGAGTTGATATGATAA